CATTCCAACAGCGATCAAACAAAGCAGGGTCCACTTTGCTTCCTGGTAGTCTCTGGGTTGCTGATGCTGCACGCGTAAGAGAAATATCGTCTGGATGCATTTACGAAGAACGCCGAAGAAACCCGCGAATACACACACCACGTTAAGAACTATTTCGTCGTGGGACAACTCGGAGGCTGAGAAGAGGTTGCCGAAGGAAGACACGAGGCAACACATCTCGTACAAACAGGCTCCAGAAAGCGTAAGCAGCAACATTTTCTTGTTTTCCTCGGACTGGCCGTGGGCGAAGTATCCAGGTCGTTCTTTACAGTAGATATCATAACATTTTCGGGTAATTTTCATCTGCTTGAAAATGATCACTAACTCTGGAGTAAAAAAAGTAATTCGTAACAACCATTGCCAATAGCGTCCTTGGAGTCCAGACCCTTCTGCTAAAAGAAGGTTACTGATCCCGAAGAATATGATGCATATCAACAAGGTGGATGCTATAGCTATCTCCATCTTTCTTGCCAACGCTCTGCTAGACTTGTCTTCGCTTAATGCCACATCGACAATGGTACTACGTCGAGAATTGCTAGGACTGCCATTACGGGATCCAACTGACATCACATCAGTGCTTCCATAAGAACCTTTGTGATCATATTCATCCACTGTTTTGTCCTTATTGTCTTCTAGCAGCGAGGGATATCGACAAACTCTTTGAGTGATTTGCTTTTGTTGAGTTAAGAAACTATTGTAAAATGACCAAAGCCGAGTCCAATTCGAGCGTCGGCTGATACGTGTCATATAACGGTCTTTCCCCCGAACCCTGTGGACATCTTTGATGATAACTCGAGCGACTGGAGGAACGAATCGGAACCACATATCTATGAACACCCACGCAAACATGACAGGAAGTTCAACTAAGAATGGTTGGGAGAATGTCACGATACCTTTAAGGAACTCCCCCGATGTGCTATTGAGTGCACAGTGATGAGTCGTATATTTTCCGCGATGTCCGAGATGATTAAAGGGCCGTACGAGCATCTTGATGGCCATCCAAATACTAATTTCAATTAAGAAGACAAAGGTCCAGCGTATCTTGGGTGTTGCGACAAGGTAGGCATCGTAAAAATTAGGGATAAAATGGAAAATCAACAGGTAAACTACCAAAGCCATGACGAAAAGGATGATCAGTTGGCCGATGAGTTCCACGTTTGTCTCAGAGATAGGATCATGCGAATGTTCGTTGAAACATAAAATGATACTGGCAGCGTCGGTAAATAATATAGACAGAAATACCAGACCAGAGAAAATATAAGTAATATTCATAGTTACATTGCTGGCTGTTGAAGATTTTAGTGTCGATTCTTCCCGAGATAGCTCAGACATCTTGTCAAGTCGAGACGTCTTCTGTCCAGAGGTGGAGTTGTCGTGGAGCTTCATCATGTTCATCTGAATGAGAGCTTCTAAACAGTTTCTGCAACGCTTAGGCCAGAGTACAAATCCCTCTTCATGCAAATGCTCTACTCTACGCGTCATCTGGATGAAGACTGCAAGAACACATAAGACCGGGAGAGCGATAGCGATGTTACGAACAGTGTAAAATACGGTGAGAAATGTCTTCGTTGTATGTTTCCCATGCAGAAATGGGATGCACATTACAATTAATCCCACTCCTGTCAGAACGCACATAACGACAAGAGAAGTATTCGCCTCCGGCCTGAGTCTAGGTATTTGAGCACCAATTGCTATATGGTCGTCCCTGGTATAAGATGGTCCAGGCACATCCCCTCTGTCAGAATTGACTTCATGACACACATTCTGATCCGAGTTAATATCGAATGCTATGGGACTTTCTTTGATCAGTGGTGAGGTGTTTCCATTACGTTGTTCTGTCATTTTTTTTTAAAATTCAGTTCGACAACAGAATTGATTTGAAAACTGAACTAATCTTCCTGTTAGGTTGCGGATCGAAAGAGGATGTGAAAGGCCCGTCACATTTTGACAAATGACTTTATTTATAGCGGAAATGCAACCGAATATACTTTGAGACATAATTCGCTCCCAGAGAGAAAGAATGAGAGAGAGAGTTATGGGGTATTTATTAGTTGCATTGTATGGACAGTGGTGGATCAAAAATTATCTTTAGCGAGGGGGGGGGGGGGGGGGTGGAGGGGATGGGGCATCATTCTTCATTCTAACAAGAGGAAAGAAATTAGTTGTGTTGAGTGAAGAAAAAAAAATGGGGCAGAATGGGGCACCTAATCACTCCTTTGCCCTTATATCCGCCAGTATCTGCTCTGATAACTAATACTTGATTAATTGTTTTCCACACCTCAGACACATACAAAATTATCAAGATATGCTTACTCTTTTTCAGATTTTATATCGAAAGGGGGGGGGGGGTTAAGAGATGAAGAGAGAAATAAAGCGAGGAAGAAAGATTGTATTGTAAAGTAAAATAATAATAATAATAATAATACATATGATTTATAAGGCGCCAAATCCACTTGACAGTCAAATGCTCAAGGCGCAGCTTGTGCAAAAGATGAAATACATACATGATACATTTATACAAAGTGCGATAGGAAAGGTACAGACATGAAAGGTAATGGTAATCAATAAGCTAAATTAAACAGATATTTCTTAAGATTGTTTTTTAACACCTCAGCAGAACTGCTATTCTTAACCCATTGAGGGAGAGTATTCCATAACGAAGGCCCAGCATGAGCCTAAAATGAGACTGGTGGCTTCTCTTATTGGGGTACTATGTCCCATTTGCAGGCCAAAACAATGAAAAGGTTAAATTCCAACGGCATTTGAAAGATAATACTAATTTAGAACTTCCCTAAAAAAGGTGGGGCTTGAAAATGTCTTCAAGTAGGAAAGTAACGACTATTAGTTGTCAAATCGACTTAGGGGCTATAGAGCCAATAAGTAATAGTCTTGATTTTCTGACCATTGTACCGAATGGTCATACGTGTTATGCTGCGCAAAGATTCAATCAGTTTTTAAAAAAATTGCCATCACAAGAAGTGGGTTATTGATGTAGACAAAATGCTCATGTACCCTTTACAGCTCATTTTATGTATGTTATTACCAAAGAAGAAAAAAAGCAAGTCAGTCACTCAATATTGTCTGACAGTGAAGTCTAGCAAGTAAACGGGTTTCCTTGCATAATTTGAATATGAGGACACTGCTAACGTTTAAATTTCACAGATAGGAAATACCGGTACATAACATATTCATAATTCCTGCAAAGTTCTACAAAATTTGAGGTTGGTTGCAAAAGGGACATATTACCTTTAACATGATGGATGCGCGAACAAAAAGCTAAGTTTCATTCCTTAATTATACAACTCACAGAATGTACCCCCTCCATTTGATTTTTTTTCTTCCTCCTCATAGATCTTTCGAATGATTATTGTACCACACCCTCAAATCGTACTCTCTCCTGGATCTGCCTCCAATGAAACATAACTGTACTTTCAACCAATCAGAATCACGTATCCTATACCAGCTGTGCTTCAGAAGTCCGAAGCGCTCAGCTGCTCTACGCCAGTGTTGTCCAAATCTCGCACTGTCTGTGTGTTTGTGTACGTCAATCTGTCTTTACCTCTTTCTATCTTTTTTTGTTTTCCTCTCCTTTTTTTCTTGCACCCCTCATCTCTACAGCCACTTGGCTGCTGCTGACTCCACCATCCCAGCTCTCACCTCACTATGTCACTGAATTAAGCCATCCTGACTGAAACCATCGGCCAATATGTAATAATAATAATAATGATAATAATAATAATAATAATAATAGGGAACATTTATATTTGTTACCCCTTTATTCTGTCCAGTGGCGGATCCAGGTTGGCCGGGGGGGGGGGCGGAAAAAACAGGTAAAAACATGTAGTTTACCCTTTTTTGGAGATCCCCCCCCCCCCCCCCTGGCGCTCAAGGGGGGGGGGGGCGATTTTTCAAATTGTTGAGGGTAAAACACAAATAAGTGCTCACTACCTATCCCACTTTGCCTTGTAAATAGTTTTGGTTCTGATTTAAGAAGTTATCTGGGGAACATGAAATAATTAATAAAGCATATGTATTGAACACTTCAGGTGCTTTCTTCGCCTCTCTAAACTTTTTCTCTCATGCAATTTTGCTCAAAATCAGGTACCAAATGAATAAGTTATTTGTTGGTGCAACTCAGTGGCTTTGCAAAATTACCCTTTTCTGATTTTAATTACCTCTGTGACAAAATTAGGCTATTCAATTAAACGACCGCCATCGCTAAATTCGATTAAACAACTATAACGGTCATTATTTTCCCACAAAAAATTCAAGCCCTTTTGATTTGAGAAAAGTTCTAAATTAGTAGGCCTATAATCTTTCAAATGCCGCTTTTCATTTATTTGGCCTGCAAATGGGACATATATAGTACCTTTCATGAAATCATCGAATATATTTTGATAAACATCCAACAAGGCATATATCTATATCACTTTTGAACATCACAATTATTTTTGCACACATATATTAAAAGCGCATTTATTTATTTATAAACATAGAATATTGTAATAACACAAATATTTCTTATAAACATCGAATATCTTTTAATTGCGTACCGGCATATATATTTCTTGACAAACATTGAATATATTTTGATACTGACCCATAAAGTTTGCAGGGATCGAATGCATGTTTCCCCCTGTGGCTTTCCATAGACAACATAGACAATTGATTGAACAATGGACAAATTAAACGCGGACTGGCTCCCCGCTAGCCTATAATCTAGGCGGAGTGCCGAGCTTTTTTCTTTGCTGCTAGACTAACCTTAAGCAGAACGTCTGATACGGCGAGACTACGAACCGTGAGCCGCGCACCGCCTATAACCACTGGTCTTCGCGGCTCACCGTTCGTAGTCTCGCCGTATCAGACGTTCTGCTTAGGGTTAGTCTAGCAGCAAAGAAAAAAGCTCGGCACTCCGCCTAGATTATAGGCTAGCTCCCCGCGGGATCGGGATCGGAGCGGGTCGGGGTGGGCGTACGCGAAGTCTGTTCCACCCACTGACCTCTACCTCCCTGGCCTGGTTCATCGTAACGTAGACATGGTAGAGTACTACTTTGTCTTTGAGTTAATTTTAGAGAGCTCTATCTGAGTCTGACTTCATCCTTTCGGACAGTCTGGTAATTTTGAATTTATTCCTGCATCAGTTAGTGTATCCATTGTAGATCAAATTAAGATTGTAGAGCCAAAGTTCCCAGGTATATTTTGATGAACTGTGACTTACTTGTGTGACTTGAGTGTGAATGTCGGTGGGAGTGCGAAAACTGAAAGCCTGCTTGTATTAAAAATTCGAATGTCGATATAGGCCTAGGCCTATAGGCCTAGACTATTTTACTTGGACTCTGTTTTTAGATCCAATCTTGGCAATATCTCTGTTTAGTTTCAACATCTAGGGACTTTTAGACTTGCGTGGACTGATTTATCTGATTTATGCCTATTTATGAATTAAGTGTGATATAGTCTAGAACTAGATATATAGACTAGATCTAGATCTAGACTAGATCTATGTTTATATTCATATGAAAATAGTCCACCAAACTACCACACTATATAGTACTCACTCACCCCACACAAATAAGGCCTTAAAAAAAAAATGTTGTATTGCCCTTTGCGACCGACCCCAAAATCTTGAAATCTAGGGTCAGCTTTTAATTTTTTTAATTTTTTTTTTACTGTTTTTAGAGAAAAACATGTTTAAAGTATTCAAAACTGATATCAGCCCAAAGAGGTAGTACAAAAAAAAGGGGGAAAAAAAAAGGTTTCCGACCGACCGACCCATGTTTTGGCAGCTAAAGGGCAATACAAAAGCATTTTTTTTTAGGCCTGAGAGCAATTCATTGACAATGCTCAAGGGCCTTCCTCTACCTCCATAGACTTTAGACACAAGACTGTGCATGTACAACTACAATCGACCAGTAGGCCTACCATAGTCCAGATAATAATAATCTTGATCATAATATTCATCTTCCTAAAGGCGCAAATTGGAATTGAACCATGGCTATTGTGTAGGTACATTAAAGAAGAGAGGGTACACTCTATGTATCAATTCATGCTAAATTAACAGTTTGAAAATAATAGGGTTTTTACACTGCAGGAGCTAGAGCTGAGAAACATGGATTTTTTTTTTAAATTGATTGATTGATTGATTTTTTTTTTTTTTGGGGGGGGGGCGGTGGGGGTGGTGGGGAAAACTTAAAGCCAAGAATACGTAAGCTTTGTATATGTACATGAAAGATCATATGTTTCATTGGTGTGAATCATTCTGTAGTATTTTCAATCTCTCTCTCTTTCTCTCTCTCTCTCTCTTTCTCTCTCTCTCTCTCTTTCTCTCTCTCTCTCTCATCCTAACCTAACCCAACCCCTTTTTTCTCCATAAATTTCCCACTCTTCCTCCTTATATTGATTCCTTCTCTCTCTCTCTCTCTCTCTCTTTCTCTCTTGCTCTCTCTCACTCTCTTGCTATCTCTTTCTTTCTTGATCTCTTTCTTGATCTCTCTCTCTCTTCTCTTCTCTCTCCCTCTGACACCCCCACACACACACACACCCCCCCCCCCCCTCTCTCTATTTACATGTATCTCTCTCTTTCTTTATACATTTCAGAAATAGAATTACTTGGAGATACACCTCGACCTACGGCTTTGTATGAGGATGGAAGAAACCATATATGATGTCTGCATTATAGGAGCTGGAATGGTGGGGTCAGCTGCAGCCAAATGGCTCTGTAAACTGCAACCGGAAACCAAAGTCTGTCTGATTGGGCCTCAGGAACCAACAGAAGAGGTACACATTATTTTCAGTGAACCAAAGACAAAATATGAAAAGAACAGATGATGATAACTTCAGAATTGAAAGAGACCAATGAGACTTTGAAAGGAAGAGAAAGAGAGAGAGAGAGAGAGAGAAAGAAAAAGAAAAAGAAAAAGAAAGAAGGAATAAAATGACACCACTCTCAGGTAATTGCTAATGACATTCTTCTCGAGTCATTTGTTAGATTTTTTAATAAAATATCTGACTTTATTTCTTATACCAATTTTGGAAGTGAACATTAGCCTACAACAAAATGAATAGTTTAACGTTGCGTCGGGCAGTATTAACTGAAAGTCCCATTGACTCCAGTAGACCAAGCAATCATGGCTAACATTTTACAGTGTACTTGAATATTGGGATGCAAAGGTGATAATTGTGTACTTTAACGTGAGATATCAGATTTAAGATTTTGAATTCATATGCATCTATGGTGAACCGTGAAGATAATTTTGAATAATGATGATAATTTGTTTGATAGTGAAATGAAATTTACCATTCTTTTCCTACAGGAGTGGCAATCAGGGAAGCGGGAGATATTTTCATCCCACTACGATGAGGGTCGATTGACAAGGGAATTGAATGAGAGTCTGATATGGAGTCTCCTTGCTCGGAGATCAATACAGCGATACAGACAGATTGAGAAAGAAAGTGGTGAGTTCTTAAAGCGGGACTGTACTACTTGTAGCTACTTGCGCCCTCTATAGAGCAAACAATGCCTAAGCGGTCCCTGTTGGTCCCCCATGACCCTCTTTTCTTATATGTTACTTGAGAACTGATTTGATGAGAAAACCACCTGTCAGTGACCACGCTGGGAGGTGAATGCAGGTTTTTTTCATAGATTGTTTTTAATTTCAAACATGTCAGACCCATGTTAGCAAAACTCTCAGCTCAAGGCATGTGTGGTTGTCATTCTCCTGTTATTAGAATGAAATTGTTGTGATTCATGGATATGCTGTGTAATATGTGCATACCCCATTCTGAATTTTCTTCATATTTCCTTGCCTGTTTTACATGTTTAATATGGGTTGATAGAAACTTAAAATGAATCTACATTTATGCTTCTACATTTCTGACAGTGTTGCCAATTTGTGCTTTACCAATGAAAACTTTAAAAATGCATAACTTTCTTAGTTTTTATGGGATTTTGCTCATTAACTATCACTGCCCTGTTCCTCTCATTTTGCTGCATGTATTAAAACATACTTAATATCAGAGTGGACTTAATTTTGCTTAGTAATAAATCATTCTCATGATGAATTCTCATTTTATTTTTTATTTGTTTTACAGGCATAAACTTCTACCAGGAAGTTGGCTGTTTATATGCCGATTTGAAGAATGGAGAGTCACTACATCAAACAGTACAGAATGCAGAAACGATTGGAAATGTTGCATACAAATCCTTAAATGCTGCTGGTCTCAAAGCCCAGTTTCCCTATCTGCATGCAGAGGAAAGCTGGCAAATGCTGTTCAACTTCAAAAATGCGGGACATGTCAGTGCCCGGAATCTCGTCGCTGCTCAACAGAAAATAGCTGCATCTCATGGGTGTGATATCATCAATGATGTTGTGGTGAAAGTACAAGAGAAGGAGAAATCAAGGGACAGTTTCATCAACATTGTCTGTCAAAGTGGGCGTAAAGTTGCTGCCAAACGTGTACTGCTCTGCACAGGTGCCTTCTCCAACAGCTACGACCTGCTACCCAGGGGCAAACAGATCGAGTTCTACCCCATAGAGGTCTCTGTAATGAAAGCAGAGTTAAGTCAAGACGATGCTCTGAAAATGGCGGACATGCCCGTGATGATGTCCAGAGTACCGGGAAAACAATACTACATTCTGCCTCCAATCAAATACCCTGATGGTAAGGAATTATTAACCCCACCCCTCACCCCATACACACATACACCTCTTCTCCTCCCCCTCCTCTTTCATTTTTGATGCAGGAGTCAGCAGCAATTTAAGAACGATCCTACATAAGTTCACTCTGTGTGTTATAAGGTACAGAAATGTGAACAGCATTGATTTTAGGTGCCATTTAAACAACAAAACTCCCAGGTTTTACTGCATTGTGTACAGGTGCCTTTATATAGGTCTTCAAATTTACATCTTATGCTTCACATCTTACTATAGAATCAATGTTTTCATTAATGAATCATAAATCAATGTCTAATATCAACCTTGTAATCAGTGAAATTAGATGATAGCATCTTCATGCATGTCTGTCTTTGTTCAGAATTTGGTATTCAGGAGTGATGTATTTCAGGATCTAAGCTTACTTTAAAAAGAAATTCCTACTGAAATGTCTAACCAGATAACTTAATTTAGAGTTGATAAGAAAAGAAATATAGTTAGATTCAAATTGATCTTATCATATTCAGGGAGTTATAATAAAGAGTATGCATCATTTATCGAAAACTGAGTTTTGTAAAAGTGTACAAGTAGTGCAAAGATGAATAAGTGTAGAGTCTTTTTTTATGTTGCAGTCCTTTTCTTTTCTCTTTCTCCAAGCTCATTATCCTCCTCTCCTCCTTGCCTATCCCTTTCTTCCTTTCTTCTATTTATAATGTATATTATGTATTTGTGTATTCGGGCATACCCAGTACAAGCTCTGCTTATCGGGTTTCGCACCTTCTTCCTTGTAATACAAGTTCTTTGATTATAGTTATGTTCCTACATATAAATGTAATTGTTTGAACAGATGTCAAATATGTTGTCAAATTGAATGGAAGAAAATAAATGTTCACTTAAATTGAATTGAATTGAATTGCAAGTACAGTGTGAACCCTGCTTCAAGTCAGCTTTCTTCCGATTTCCTTTGTCTTATTCTTTTTTTTTCTTTCCATATTTTTATTGCAGGAAAGTATTATATCAAGATCGGAGACTATAACACCAGCATCACCTTACTACGTACTCACCAAGAGATAGCAGAATGGTTCCGATCTCAGGGGCGTTATGAAGATGACACCGATGAAGCTGTAGAACTCTTAAAATTCATTGTTCAAGGTACAGCTGGCCAGGCACATTAGGGGGGTGTTGCACAAAGATCCCAAGTTGAACTGAACTCTATGTTGGACTTAAATTATTATGGAGAGCCATTTGTAGCCTTAAAATAAAATATATTCAAAAGCGAACATTCAAGTATTTTAGACTTTTTATAAATTCCACATCAAGAACATGAAATAACCTTGATATTAGAAAATATGAATGATTTGAATCAACATTTTATGCCTTTTGAAGTAACTTTGACAAAATATTTTCATAGATGCTATCGGCTTTCCATAATTTTTAAGTCTAACTTGGAGATAAGTTCAACTTCAGATCTTTGTGAAACACCCCCCCCCCCCCAGAACTGATCTAGCTTGGGATGGGAGGGAGGAGGGGTAGGGGATCCACCTCCATGTTTTTTTTTTGTTGTTGTAATTGTTTGCAAGTTTAGGTAATTACTACCTGCAAATACAGTGAAGATCATTGCAAATATGAGTGTTGAAATCAAACTAGTATTCATGTATCATCCACCCCTGTTCAATGTGATATTTGAGTTTTGGGGGAATTAACATTGTAGAATTATTTGGAGCTGGTATAGTGTTTGGGACTCAGACCCGTGTTGTTGTTTTTTCTTTGATTTGTACCTTAATTGTCTGCAAAAGAAACAAAACCAAGCTGTATCAACTTGAATGTTGGTATATGCTCTGGCCACAGTTGCTCTGTAGTCAATTTTGTAGCATTAAAAAGTCTTGACTTTAACCCTTGACCCTGAAGTATGCCTAACCCCAACTCTTAACCCGATCTAAAACTGATCATAGCCCTTACACTAAACTCATATCTGTTTGATAACATTGATAAAATAAAGCCCTGATCACAAGTCATGTGGGTATGTTAAGTCAAATTACCATTTATTTAAAAAAAATCTTTTTATCTGTTACTTATCTTTATTTATATGATAGATTTGAATCCCATCTCCGTGACCACTTCATGCTGTGTAAGCTCTCACACACCGACCAAACTCCTGTATTGTGATATGATAACACCACGCCTTGGAGCTCTGATGGGCATGTCGGGTCAGGGGGCCAAATCCAGCGATGAGATTGGTAGAATGGGGGCAAAGATGATCGCCAGGGGGGCGTGGGATTACGACCTCCCTGCAGAACTCTTTAGATTACAGTACAAGAAAATGGAGAATGCCAAGCTATGATTAGGGAGCGAGCTTAAGGTAAATCTGAAATATAATGAACATATGGACTATAATGAACATATGGAATGTAATGAACATATGGAATGTAATGAACAAATGAAATATAATGGAACATATGAAATATAATGAACATATGGAATGGAATATAATGAACATCTGGAGTATGATGAACATCTGAAATACAGAGCATAAAATAATCAAATATGATATACAACTACGCTGTTTTGTTGTAATTTGACTTGAGGGTCAATAAATTATTGAATATTTGGTCAAGAGGGCAATACCAGTCAGTGGACCGAATCTTGTAAGCAGCAGCAGAGAGCACCAGTATAAGAATCGTAACTAGAAATGCTGTTTGGGGAGCACTATTTGAGAGTCGATAAGTTATTGAATATTTGATCGAGAGGGCACTACCAATGCACAGAATCTTGTGAGCAGCAGCAGAGAGAACCAGTATAAGAATTGTAAATATACCTGAGTTTACTTCTGTTTATTTTCTTCTCAATATCAATCCCTGTCATATCAGCAAATTTTGTAAGACTTCACCTTCACATTTTGATAGGTTAATCAAGGTGTTGGGTGATTAAATATCATAATAGCAGCAATTAATTTTCAAAATGGAACCATCTCTTACTTCAACTGAATTAGTGATTCAATCTGGCAACCAGTACTAGTAGGTTAGATTATATATAGAGATGTTATGAATCATAACATCTCTATATATAATCTAACCTATAATATCATAATTTTATAATCAAATATGGAATGTTGTATAGCTTTCACCATATATGTTGTATCGATGATTGCGCTTTAAATCTGAATCTCTATTGTGTCCAAGAAAATGCATTTAATGCAATATAGGCTAGATTATACTTTATATATATTATTTTGTATATAGATGTGTGTACCTGTTATGGAATTGCCCAAAGTATATATGGAGCTTTGACAGTTAAAAGTAGATGAGGATTCCAAAGAGTAAAAGTGGATAATGAGTCAAATTTGTGGACAGAAATTAAAATTGTTCAAATAAATGAAAAGGTTGTACAAGCAATAACCCTATGTGCATGTATAGGCCTACAAAGTACCTACCTTGTGAAAACAAAGGCGACTTAAAAAAAACCTGTCTACCTTTATGATCATGATGGGATGATAATCCCTTCTAACAATGTGCTTGTTGTCAGACATACTGTAGTCCAATGACAGATACTCTCTTAATAGGCTTTTGTAACCAAATTTAATGCATGCGTCTTTGTGAAGTGCCTTGATGCAAATTATTCAATTCACCTGTTACAAATAATTGTATTTCAGTAGTCAGAATGCGAATTGCATATATTAGTTGATGCTAAAAATTGCTTGGTAAGACAAACAAAATGGCTTGCCTTATAAATATGTTGTTTATGCCCTGTATTACAAAAATTTCTTATTTTTCATAATTATATCCTACAAGGTCCTCTTTCATGAAAAGTAGCTACCAATGGCTCATTCGCACATGATACAGGAAAGAGTATCATGTTTTTCATTTGTGTGTGTGTTTGTTATTTTTAATGTGCGACTGAATGGGGGTAGTAAAATGGAGGTGTATACGTAACAAAGGTCCTATCTACTCTAATCTGTGTGGTTTAACATACAGAGAATGGGAAGCGCATAATATATATTTTTAAAGAAATCTTTAAAAATCTGCAACATTTTACCATGTTATAATTATGTGAAGGAGCCTTAAGAATGTTTCTTGTTTTGTTGTTGTTTATGTTTGTTTTTAAAGATCTTTTTGAAATTCATTCATCAATGAATATGAAATTTTCTTGCTGTGCTGCATCAAATGAAAGGATAGTGTTGCTTTTTATATAAGTCACCAGTGTCTGTGGTGTTCAAGAGTCTAATTACGGCACATCATTTTAAATAAATATATATTTTTGTATTAAAAAAATAAGCTGTGTGCAAATAAGATTATACTTACACATTAACCTCTGTCATGGAGTGAATAAAACATAGATAATATAATCAGAGAATATCTTTGCATTTGAATATATTTAATTCAAATTCGCGGTGTTTTACTTCAACCCTAAAAAAAAGAATGAATGAACTCTTTTGGAGCTGTTGATTGCAGCATTTTCTTGGACATTTCAGATATTCTATAGTACATTTGTATTTTTAAAACAGTGAATAGGCCTACAAATTTGAATGCCTTTTGTGATATAATTTTACCATGAATGATGCAGACCCTTTTCATTCCCTTTATTCATTATAAAGAGAAAGAAATGCAGTCTGCATCATTTTGAGAATTGTCGACTTCATGTCCCTATATATCTCTATTCCTAGTTGTAGGTGACAGAATTGTGAAACAATGAAACAATTATTGAGAGAGAGAGAGAGAGAGAGAGAGAGAGAGACAGACAGAGACACAGAGAGAGAGAGGGAGAGAGAATCAGACCGAGAGACGGTTGGCATGGTTATACAGAGAAAGAGATATATTATCGGGGGGGGGGGGGGGGGGGGGTGAGATTCTGCGGTGTCTATGATAATAGGCTAAGCTAGGGTGATTAGGAGTCTTGACCAAAGTAAAGATACGCTCAAGTCAACTTCAACTAAGCAATGTGACATTTCATATGAATCATTAAGTTTGACCATATTAACTTCATTTCTAATTTAGATAAATTTGAGCCTTCGTTGCTTCTCTAGATCTCTGTTCCTTCTTTTTATCTCTCTTGTCTCTGACTCATCCCTCTCTTTCTCTCTCTCTCTCTCTCTTTCTCTTTCACTCTCTCTATCTCTCTCTCTCTCTTTCACTCTCTCTCTCTCTCTCTCTCTCTCTCTCTCTCTCTCTCTTTAATATTTCTCAAGTCTTCTGTTTCCCTCTTCTCTGTCCAAAACTGTGTCTCTGTATAACTTCTCCCGTCACCGTTTCTCCTTCTCATTATCTTTACATGCCTAGTTGTCTGTCTGTCTCTCTTTCTGTCTCTCTATGCCTCTCTCTCTCTCTCTCTCTCTCTCTCTTTCTCTCTCTCTCTCTCTCACACCACACACACACGCACACACACACACACACACACGTACACCCCCCCCCCCCCCCGATGTACATCCAATTTCATATCAAAAACGGAAAAAGCAATTTCCATCTGAAACCGACAGCTGAAAGAGATCGGAGCTCAGATTTGTTGAAGAACAGCGTGAACGTGAACTTCTAACACTGGGGTCAAACTCCATGCAACATTGCCTGGGAATATGCCTATTGCTTCCTCAGTATGAATTGCACTCGAACTATCTAATAATACCTATAATAATGGGCATTTCTATAGCGCCGTCTATATTATCTAGAAATTCTATTCCGAGGCGCATTTATCTGCGGTCTCTCCTAGCTGCACCAGTCACTACGATAATATTGTAATCTGTTCACGGTATGTTATATTATTTTTGTTGAAACTTGTTTATACTTTACATGTTATAATTAGTAGGCTATATTATGATTCATGTATATGACATGTTGTATGTCATGTACATTTTATGTATATTCATGCAACTGGCTAAAATGCATTACATACCGAACGTTCGACTCATCATTTCGGTCTAATACCAGCCAACGCGTGAATTGTAAGTTACCTTTGGACCCATACAATATTTAATATATCTATCTATCTATCACATGCATTAATCATCATGTATTCCTGTCGTAAAGTACAGTGCACCTTCGTATACTGTCGCATAGTAATTATTTGTATTCTATTTAATACAAATTTATGTATTGTCAAACTGTAACACAATTTATACTTATTGCAATTTCTCAATTGAGGCACTACGGTAGACATACATACATAATTAGGCCTGTTATAGCAATGACTGCTAATTCTAGTTTACAATATTATTACGGTGTAATTTTTGTATAGGAAATGATGAAGGTAAAAGATGTTAACAACTGAATTATTTACAAACCTGGTAGATTTGACGCTTTTTTTTTTAACCGATAGCTCAAGAATGAAAGATGGATGGGTTCAGGCGCGTACGCAGGGGGGGGGGGGGGGGGGGGGGGGTATTTTGGTACTTTGGTATTTTTTTTGTGTGTAACCCCCCCCCCCCCCCATAACCCCCCCTAACCCCCCCCCCCCCCCTTGGATTTTTCTCTTTTTTTTCCTTTTTTTTAATTAAAAAAAAAAAAAAAATATTCCCATGACTGACCTAAAAAGGTGATCTTACCCCCCCCCCCCCCCCAACGGAGCCAAATGTCAATTTTTCAATTTTCAAGACCAAAACAAAAAAAAGTGTCCTCTTAGCCCCCCCCCCCCCCCCCCCCCCCCCCCCCCCCCCCCCCCCCCCCCCCCCCCTTGAAAAAATCCTGCGTACGCGCCTGGATGGGTTTGTTAAATATTGTCAGATGAAAGCTTTGATATGTCACATTCTCCAAAAACATAAATCGGGACAATTTTTGTTCACATATAAAAACTTGGTAAAAAGGGTGTGGATAATTTAATTGTCAACTGTGTATGCCTCTTGAGGAAGAATCTCTTAGATCGAGACTGTCGGTGTACTACAAACATGTAGACATAATTCGATCATCCTTACAACCAAACAAAGTGAGAGGGGGAGAGGGAAAGAGAGAGAGAGAGAGAGAGAGAGAGAGAGAGAGATGGGAGCATTTTAGTGAAAGAAAAATCTGATACGCTTGATCATCGTTTATGAATATACAAAGTCATTAGGCCTTTAATTATAGTGCGCCAAATGCCATAATGCCTCATTTCCCTTACAACTTGACAAAAAGTGTGTCAGAATTTAAGTTAACGCATGTGCATTGTGTTTATACTATATATCATTTCAACGATATAATATATGTTCATGTACATCCCATCATGTAACATTATATCTATCAGATTACAAACTTGTTGCATGCATTCGATGTATAATTATGTAATTAAAATCATATGCGAGCCCGTCATCTGCCTGTATAAGCAATTAATGGAATGTTGTAATTTTCTGCCTTTATAAGCAATCAATGGAGTTTTGTAATTTTCTCACTATCATGTTTAGGTCACTACTTTGTCAAATTGGTTATTCTTTTTTCTCAACCATATTTAATTTATCTATACTCTGTTTACTCCGTATATATTCTACTTTTCTTGCATAAAGAAATGATATCAACAACAAAATCTCGAGTCTAGTACGTACTGGTCATGGCAGGAACCATGTATGATGTCTGCATTGTAGGAGCTGGAATGGTGGGGTCAGCTGCAGCCAAGTGGCTCTGTAAACTACAACGAGAAACCAAAGTCTGTCTGATTGGGCCTCAGGAACCAACAGAAGAGGTATACACCATGAAAACTCCTATTTAGCACTGAGCCTTAAAGGTAAAGACCAGTATTGGAAACGCCCCAATTTCAAAAAATGAAATGGAAGCTCTCATTACCAATCATGTGAAAGAATATGTTTTGACTAATACATGATGATAAAAAATTTGCCGGGAAACCGCCTACTAATTCATATATTTGGTAAATTTGTTTCTCTCATGGACTGTGAGAGATATAGGGTAGTCCCATATACATTTTTCTGTGTATAGTGCTTGTAACTTTGCGAAGAATGGGCCAAATTTCTTATCATTTTGATGATTCCAGAACCTTGCAGATGCTAGATGCTAGATGATCAACCTTTTCTGATCGATTCCACAACGTTTCTTTCACAATGCAATCGCATGACCATAACTGGTCTTTACCTTCAAAACAGAACGAAACAAACAAAGTAACAAAAAGACTAAAAAATAAAGATACACAAAACATAAATGAAAGTTATTCCAAATCAACAAGATCAACTTTGCAAAATAAATAAAAAGAGTGCATACATTATTCGTAAGGAATAAATATGTCATTTTTACTCATAACAATTGTTATATTTGTACATTAAAGGATTGAAGTTCAGACTGAAAACTCGGGCCATAAATGTTCTTTATTTTAATGACAATACACGCACCTTTGATTCAGGTCATATTTTCCCGGCATATTATCATCTAATATATTTTCCTTTTCGGATGTATTCATTCGTATCCGGACACCTACTCCCTGGACAACCACCCCGGATAATAGCCACCCTAGGAGAACCATCTTTAGGACAACTACCCCCGGGCAACTACCCCGGACAACTACCCCATAGGACAACCACCCTCTAGGACAACTACCCCCGGACAACTACCCCCAGACAACTACCCCTAGGATAACTATCCTCCAGGACAAGTATCCGCAGACAACTAGGGCCAACCCCTAGGGCAACCGCCCTCAAGTACATATACCTCCTTCAAATATATCACCTATGGGAACTACCACCTAGCTACCCCCGGACAGATACCACTTAGGGTATAATTATCCATCGGGAGGTAGTTGTCCTAGATGGTAGTTGTCCTAGGGGTAGTTGTCTGGGGTAGTTGTCCGGGGTAGTTGCTAGAGGGTGGTTGTCCTAGGGGTAGTCGTCTGGGGGTAGTTGTCCTCGGGGTTAGTTGTCCTAGAGGGTGGTTATCATAGGGGTGGTTATTAAAATGACGTTGAACAATAAACATACATCATACTCAATCTGCATCTTGTTTTAAAAAGTTGCTGCGATAATAAATGAGAAGATGCCATAATTATAATTTTAGATATTGGTAATTTACCAAGTGATGTTTGAGTTTTGGTGTAATTTTCATCAAGATTTATTTCCAATGTGAGAGCTCCGAAACAAGTGAATGGGGGTAACGTGACAAGTTTTAACATTAAACAGATTATAACCTCAACTATAGAAAAATACCATTAATCAAGATGAAATTCATAATTTTTAACAGGAATGGCAGAAGAGGGAGATATTTTCAGCCCATTATGATGAAGGGCGCCTGAGTAGGGAAATGGATGAGTCTCTTATTTGGGCTATTCTAGCACAGAGGTCAATAAAACAATACAGAAATATCGAGAAAGAAAGTGGTAAGTATATAGTTTATATAGTATATATATATATGCCCGGTAAACCGATAAACATTAATGTCAGAAGCCTAACTACAATTACTGAATACAGGGCCTTGTTGCATACAACTTACCAGTGGTGGTAACCTCCATGGAAACCTTGATTCGATTGGCTGTTGAGTGATGTTGCCAAGGTAGTTAATAATGATGACAAAGTTACCATCAATGGTAAGTTTCATGCAACGGTGCTATGTTTGTTTTAATAATCAGAACCTAATTTAAACACACTTACTGATCGCGGTTATAGTATAACAATAATATAATAATGTGTTAACCCAGGGAAGCCTCATCAGAATCAATGCTCTTCTTCCCGAGGGCCCTGCAATTATAACCCCAGCAATTGCCAGGTACCCATTTACACCTACTAGGTGGAGAGTGGGAAATGTGGATTAATGTCTTGCCAAAGGCCACTAATGCCTGGCTGGGATTCAAACCCTCAAACCTTCTATTCAGAGTCAAGTGAATGAACCACTATACTACGACACTTCCACAAGGTTTTCCAGTTGAAGTAGACATAAGAAGAAGCCTAGTTACTTACCAAATTGCACTGTAACCGTGGTAGCGTCCCGATGTTGGTTAAATCTCAATGTTTGGACCGGAATGTAAATTGACTTTTTATTTACCTTTTTCTAAATCATGAACACTTAAAGCGAAAGCAAAACAATTATTATCCTTCTTTTAGTTTATAATCTTCTGACAATTGCTGGACTGCCTATAATCAGTGGAGCATATCTTTTGTAATTTGATTATACTATTTTTATTAATTTGTTTAGTGTGCATCCGTTTTTTTTTTCTTCTTCAGGCATCAACTTTTACCAAGAAGTTGGATGCGCTTTTGTTGATATTCAGGGCAAGGAGAGCTTAGAAGTTACGAAACAGAACGCAGAAAAGATGGGTGTCACAACATACAAAGCTTTAGACTCAGTTGGCCTTCAAGATCAGTTTCCATATCTTCATATAGAGTCAAATTGGGAATTTCTGTTCAACTCCAAGAATGCCGGATACGTCAGTCCCCGGAATCTCGTTGCAGCTCAGCAGAAAATAGCCTCATCGCACGGTTGTCAGGTGATCAATGACGTTGTGGTGAAAGTCCATGAGGATGCTGGTGGTGGCGATGATGATTTCTTGAAGGTTCTTTGCCAGAGTGGTCGTGAGGTAACTTCCAATCGTGTACTCCTCTGCATGGGTGCCTTCTCGAATTGCTACGACCTGTTACCCGAAGGCAAGCAGATCGACTTCAAACCGATGAAGACCTTTGTCGTGAAACCAGAAGTCAGTGAGGAATATGCCAAGACACATGCAGACATGCCCAGCATGATAACCAACATTCCAGGCAAAATGAGTTACATTCTACCTCCTATCAAGTACCCGGACGGTGAGGCAAATGAATCCAAGCATTTTTGGTTGATGTGTGCTCAGTTTTATATAGGCTGATCAAAATTAAAAGAAGTATAACTCAATTTATTTTGAAAATACACTTTGCACAAAAATGGGTATAATTATGCAGGGTTTGACACTAACAGGGCCCGGAATACAATAATGGTCACCCAAAATCTCAATCTGGACTCCCAAATTTCAAAATGTTCCCATAGGGCTTTAATTTAGCCCTATAGAGACTCTAAGAAGTTCGATCTGGATATAGTACCCCTTTCAAATAGGTCAGTATGGAGCCTTGGTATATATGGGACTACACAAAGAACTAGCATAGAGATTATTCCAAATATTCCAGCTATTTCTTGTCATATTGTGAATACGAGGGCTTTTCAAGAATAGTCCATTTCAGGGAATATTTTCATTATATTCCAAAGAGACATAATAACGAATTTCCACTGAAATAACATTCCATCTTTACCAGAACGCAATCCAAAACTCACTTTACTGCTTTAGGAAAGTATTACCTCAAGATCGGTGGATATAAGGTCCCCAATGTTGCCAGTGATCTTCAAGACATGGTGGAGTGGTTCCGATCAGAAGCACAGCATCAAGACAAGAAAGACGCCACTTTGGACATGTTGAAGTTCTTTCTTCCAGGTAAATCACTGAACTTGAACTTCAATTGTACCACTCCCCCCCCCCCCCCCAATTAAAAAAAAACCTGTATTTTAGGTACAGGTATATATTTTATTTTAAGGATTATCTGTGATTGTGCACCTTGTATCAATATGTTGGTTATTTATACCGAACCTCTTTGATTTAGTTAAGGGGAAGTAAAACACCTTGTCAAGTTTATCTTTGTTTTGGCACAATTTTGCTTCTATGTCATAAACGTATGTATGATTTGTTGATAGATCTGGACCCCATTTCTGTACGAACAGCTCGTTGTGCAACCTCACACCCACCTACTAAGATGCTATACTGTGACATGGTCACAACACGCCTTGGAGTTGTGATGGGTTTGTCTGGTAAAGGGGCCAAATCCAGCGATGAGATTGGTAGAATGGGGGCAAAGATGATCGCCAGGGGGTCGTGGGATTATGATCTTCCTGCAGAACACTTCAAGCTAAGGTACAAGACCACGGGAGCGCAACGACCTAATCGCAGAGGCGCTATTCTGCCTCGGATTACATCGAGGATCTCCTTATACCAAAAGGTATATTATATCCATTGCGCTCGCGTCTACCTTACATCTCAGTCACACCGCTAAACCAACTCCATCCAGAACAACTACCAAGCCGACTTATTTTGGGCCATAGAGGTTATAATTTGTCGTTGAGGTGTCGGTCTTGTCGGTGAGGTGTCGGTCTTGTCGTTGGGGTATCGATCTTGTCGGCGTGACTGAGGTATTCATCATGGCCCGTTGTCTCACATCTCTCACTATGCCAGTGCCATTATGGTAGTAGAGCTCTTGAACAGAGTCACACTATTTCTTTTGAATAAGCTACCCTCGGGCTACCCTGTAGCGCCATGAGCATTAATTGCATAGAAATCAAAATCGGCTTCTGTTTATTACTCGGAGCTACTAATTTTGTATAATTATGACGAATGTATTCAATCTAATTCCCAAAGGTATGGACTTACATGTATAACCTATAGTTTAATAAGTTATGTTTGTACAACTTATTTCACAGCGCATTGGGTGACATTAATGTTTGTCAGAAGGAGTGCTGAAAAATATGTAGCATTATTACAATTATTTATAACTACTAAATTGAATACAGAGAGAAGAGCCGCTTCCTGTGCTTTGAAATCATGTGTAAATTTATCTTATTTGGAAGTTTTTTTTTGCTCAATGATGAATGTTAGGCCTAATGTGGGCTCGTGAAAATAATTATATATCTTTTTTTTTCTGTTTCCCTTTTAGCTGTTGTCAAAGCCGATTATTGCCGTGTATAAAGTATAATTTGTCACAATTAAGTTAGTCATTTGACACTCCAGGTGGTATTGATGGTTTAACACAAAGAGACTCGATCATACACAGTATGTCCTCCGTTTAACACCACAAGTTTATTGATGGTATTTGCACAATCCTGTTGTAGCTAATAATTACACAAGCATAATTATGGTAATGTTCATCAATGATGTCAACACAAGCAAAGATCTAATTTTTATTTCATAGTTAAAGATGCTCAATGATATGTTAGGCCTAAATAAATGTGGGCTCGTGAAAATAATTATATATCTTTTTTTCCCCCCTTTTAGCTGTTGTCAAAGCCGATTATTGCCGTGTATAAAGTATAATTTGTCACAATTAAGTTAGTCATTTGACACCACAGGTGGTATTGATGGTTTAACACAAAGAGACTCGATCATACACAGTAGTCCTCCATTTAACACCACAAGTTTATTGATGGTATTTGCACAATCCTGTTGTAGCTAATAATTACACAAGCATAATTATGGTAATGTTCATCAATGATGTCAACACAAGCAAAGATCTAATTTTTATTTCATAGTTAAAGATGTACTTTGTACTTTGAATTGTGTAGTTTTTCTTACACATAAACATGTATGTTTGTGCTTCTTTGAGATATATTTTCATAATCACATTTCTCTGACTTTGAGTTGAAAACGAAGTTTATTGCCCTGTATAAAGTACAATTTGCACAGTCGTACTTTAGGAAATAGTTACACAAGCATTTGTATAAATGTCAACACACTGGGATAAAACTAACTTTTATTTCATAGCAAAAAATGTACTTTGTACTTTGAATCAGGGGCGGGGTTTTGGGGGGGGGGGGGGTTTGGGGTTCAAACCCCCCCCCCCCCCTTTGGTATTTTTATGTGTGTAAACCCCCCTAAAAAAAACCAAACCCCCCCCCCCCCCCCCTTTGGGTTTTTTTTTTTTTTTTTTTTTTAATTTTTTAATTATTATAAAAATAAAAAAATAAAAATAAAAAAAGATTATACCCACGGTTATAAACCTAAAAAAGGTGACCTTACCCCCCCCCCCCCCCCAACGAAGAAAAATGTCAAATTTTGAAATTTCGAGACCAAAAAAAAAAAAGTGTCCGCTTGCCCCCCCCCCCCCCAGTGTCCGCTTGCCCCCCCCCCCCCCCCCCCCCCCCCCCCCCCCCCCACTGAGCGACTTTTCGGCTGGCTGAGTCGTTGCGATTTTTTTTGGACTCCCCCCCCCCCCCCCCCACTGAGCGACTTTTCGGCCGGCGCGATTTTCAAATTTTCGGGAGCAAAACCCCCCCCCCCCCTTGAAAAAATCCTGCGTACGCCCCTGCTTTGAATTGTGTCGTTCTTCTTACAGGTTAACCTGCATGTTCCTGCTTCTTTTAAGTATATTTTCATGAACAATTCTGACTTTCAGTTAACATTTTCCAGTACAAATGGTTTAAAGACAGTTATATAATCTGAAAATTGAAATCAAACCGGACTAAAATTATAATACAAACATGTATACACATACCTTGTACATAGCATCTGAACTGAGGTTGAATTTCTTCGCATATAGGCAAGCCATAAGATGTTATTGTATTTTATAACTGAAATATCTTTTAGCAATGTCTAAGCAATGAAAACATCATAAAAGCTGAAATAATATTTGCCTTGATTTTTAATACATGTTATATTATATATATGATATATGTGATTTTCGGAAGGTAATCATTTGAAGTGGTAGTTGTCTGGACACTTGGGGCAGGTTACCTAAGCGATAATGAGTAATGGTTTAATGGTTTAGTAATTGTTTAATGGTTTAGTAATGGTTTAAGGAGTAATGGTTTAGTGGCAGGGGCTTTTTAGTCCGGAAGGAAAGTCCTGGGCCCCATTTCACAAAACTTGTCAACAGTGACAAATAAATGATAGTTTGTGTTATAAACTAGTGAAATCCTTGCTTCTGATTGGTTATCAGAAGATTTGTCACTGATTTTTGTAATTAGTCATTGAAAAATGCTTTGTGAAACGGGTTCCTGATTAGGATGTGGATTTTTTGGACGCTGTATCTACAAATAACAATTTATCGGTCTCTAATTTACCGTTTAAAATCAAATTCAGTCCCGGCCATCTTTTTCTACAATTATATCTCAAAATGTACCCATAACTATTCATTAGTGCCTTTTACATTTTCTCGAAAAATGTTCTGAAATAATGTATATACATTTCTCAAAATGTACTTGGATAAATTAGCAATTCTGCATGTGAATTGATTTCAAAATATATGTATTGCTCATATCAGGTAATGTGTTATTCTGAAATAAATACATATATACGTCTTATCTGTCATACAAAATAAATGTTTCACGTAAACTAAGAATATACACGTTTAAGTGAAATGATTATAGTACGTCTATATGAGAGGCTAAAAATCACGATTTTTGTTTTTCGTTTCCAAATTTATTCATTTAACACAAAAAAAAACACACGTACAGACAATCAAACGACGAACAGATAAACAAAGGAATATTTAGTTCAACGTTTATTTTTTATTTGTGATATAACATCTTTTTCTTTTTTCCTCTCTCTCTCGACTGAACATCAATCGAAATTACATAAAATAAATGCAGTTATCGTAACATGACGCAATGTAAAACAATCTCGGATATAATTATATTTGTTAGAATGAAACATTACAGCACAATTTCTATTTTCGATTACATATGACTTGATTATGTAATGTCATAACTATTGGTCACGTAATTGGATAATTACTCACCCCGTGCCCCTTCCCCATAACAATGCCCCCTCCTTCCATTAGTTTATGGTTTGTCAAGAGATTATTCATTTTGCCTTTTCATTTTTTTAATGAAATAAATGAAAAAAGGCTTATGATGCACGAGACACTAATTGGTCAAAATCTCGTGTTAGCAGTGTTTAAAGTAGATATGCATTGATTTTTAAAAACTAACTTTATTTTCATTATTGCAAAGTTGAAACTTTGATTCGACAAGGCTATCAAAATTCAATGCTTGGAACATTCGAAGTAATGATTATTATAAATTACAAAACGCTTAAATACAGCCCCGGCATAGCACCTGAAGAGCTCTCCGAACGCTGCTGAGATGTGTGAGATCACAGGACTGGCATGATTTGCACAAGCAGACGATGTTCCATGACATCTTACACATTTTCAGTGCCTGTTTTTTCATTTTCTCTTGAGTTCTTTCTATTACTTCACTACCGTCAGGCTAAATGTATAAGCTATTGCCTCACGCTAAACCCCGCGCATGGTTTAATTTTGATGACAAATGCAGCGATACAAAAATAAGACGCCATTGTATATTCAGCTGCACACACTGCGGTATGTTCGGCGTTTCAAGAGGGAACAAATGCCGTCCTTAATATCATTCCGGGGTTTTCAATTTGAAAGTCTGGTTTCTTTGATTGTTAATTAACTCCTATCCTGTGTATTTACAAACAAAAGTTTTTAGTTATCATAATCGGTTTCATATCCCCTTTTGAATGGTTTGAAATGCCATCACATTTATATACACTAAACTCATTATAATTTGAGAAATAATAGCTTTGCATTTATGTTAATTCTTTATGGGATTTCGTCTGCTTGGGCAGTATTCGTACATTATGTGACGTCATTAAAACATCGTTATTTTTCTGGCGAAGCTCTCTTATATCCTATATGGAGGTGGTAAATCACCCGATATGTAGTTGACCTAACACTTGTACGATGGCCATCTGTTAGCTTACCAGTTTCTAGTGATACATTAGTTGACATATATGTGATTTTCTTTGAATTTCCACTTTAAGACTAAGTCCTGATTGTATCTAATAACACACCGAATGACGCAGAATTGTATATTCTAGAACGTGGTAAATAGGAAGGCACTATTAATGCACTTCAAATGCGTAGGGTTAATGAAAGAATTAATATCTCTGAGATCAATGGAGAATATCTACAAGGTCAGTGGACAGTTGAATCATATTAAATATGACGAACATTTTCATGTTCTAGAGCTTTCCAGTGAGTAAGCTCTTTGGAGAATTCTTCCTATATTGAACCTTGAACATGTCTGGATTCAAGTCGTAGTTCCACGACCCTTTTGAAATCATGCTTGCGCCCATACGTCCGATTTCGTTGCTGCATTTTGCCCCGAGGCCGTTCATACCTATCAGGACGCCGAGACGAGAGGCCAACATGTCACAGTAGAGCTGGCCGGTAGGGGTGACCGAAGCGATGCAGCAGTCCGTTGTCAGAGAAATTGGCCGGATTCCTATTTTCACAGCAACACAATGAAACAAAAAAGAGGGATAGTTACAAGACAAGATCCATTTTCATGCTGAAGATGATAAACATGATCCAATACGAAGCAGTCTACATAATTATGTTTCTTTATTTTTTTCTTTTCTTGGGGGGGGGGGGGGGTTTAATAGTCCAAGTAAGACTTGGTTATACATTTCAAACATGGTCTTAATTAATCGCTCTTTAATTTGAGGTTGAAAAGGGAAATGATTAATCCAACGGCGCCCCATAACCGCCCCACCCCTCCCCTACCCCCTCTCTCTCTCTCTCTCTCTATTCCACCTTCTTCCCCCTCTCTCCTCTAGACAACCGAACTGATTCCCGTCACCCCACCGCCCCCCCCCCTCTCTCTCTCTCTCTCTCTCTTCGAGCTCCTCATTACCTGGAATCAGCTCTCGCAGCACAGCGATGGTGTCTGAGGTACCAAAGTTCCTCCCATGACTTCTGAACCACTCCGCCGCTCCGTGTAGATCACTGAACTGATTATCCAGACTGAACCACAGCCCCAGCTTCAGGTAGTACTTCCCTGAGAATTCAGAGAAAACAGTACACAGTTAAAGAGAAGGTCGAGTTCTGGGGAGAGGTGAACAATAAGTTGTGAGCGTTATCATTGTTATTATGCAAGTGTGGTAGAACTTCAGAGGAAAAAAAATGTTCCCTTAAGAGTATTGCTCTTCAAATGCCTTCATATTATAAAATGACAAGTACCAGTTTAAACATGAGGCCCTATTTTTATGCCACATATTTGTGTAGTCCTAATACACCTCTCGGTGTACAGTGCTTAAACTTTACCAAGACTGGGTCAAATTTATAATAATTTAGAAGTCAATTTTTGCACTCTCGCAAACAGTGTCTCCTGTTCATCCAAGTGTGAACTCATACCACACAAAAATGATACCAAATGATTTGGGATAAAACACTCTTTCATAAGATGTATAATCATTTACTGTTTATAGATGATTTTTTAAATAATTAGCAATTAATTTTCTAGGTGTAAACGTTTTTGACTCACACTGTATATATGGTTAATCTTACCGTCAGGGTATTTGATTGGCGGTAGCACGTAACAGTCCTTGTTATCCAGAAGGATGGAGGGCATATCTAACATCTTGATAGCATCTTGTTCCGATAACTCGACCTTCACCACAAAAGTCCTACACATGTTGAAATCAATCTTCCTATCCCCTGGCAGAATGCTATGGAAATTAGTAAACGCTCCCGTGCAAAGGAGAACACGCTTGGCAAAAATCTCCCTCCCATTCTCAGACAATACTCTGACGACCGTTTCTCCATCTTGTGACGTCACATCCGTGATGCTTGTCACCACTTCATGGATCACGTGACAACCGAGTGATGACGCAATTTTCTGCTGGGCGGCGACGAGCTTTCGAGGACTGATGTGTCCGGCCCTCTCGGCCGTCCATACACATTCGCTGTCGTGGTTCACGCGAAGGTAAGGGAATTTGGCTTGGAAAGATTGACAGTTGAAGATTTCGTGACGGACACCTAATTTTCCAGCAGTTTCCTTGTAGTTCTGCATCCGTTGATTTCCCTTGGTGTCAATGAATGCACAGCCCACCTCCTTGTAAAATTTGATTCCTATTTGAATATAGAGGATAGCGAGGTATTTTCGTTGTTATTCACGACACACATACCATTGAGCTTTAAGTCCAGTCATACTACGTCTACACCAATATTCCTAACTCCATAATGTACAATGATTACTGATAAATCGTTATATTCTAAATATTATTTGACAAGTCCAAGGTATGTCCCAAACGTTACCAGCTGTTATGGAATTATATTATGGAATTGTAAACTTGTAATAAAAATGTAATTTCCATTCATGTTTGTTTGAATCTCGTAGGGCTATCAGCTTGACACTTATCAGATACAAGTATATTGAAATCTTAGTCGGCAACGTATGGGACAGAACAGCTCGGACTTGAACTATTATTATGCCATGTCTTTTTATAAAACGAGGTTGAAGTGATGTATTTTGTATCACATTAAATAATAACACGGCTATTAAAAAAAAGCTCTACAAAGTTAGAAGAAAAGCAAAAAAAAACATTCAAACGTACATCCCATAAACTATCTCCGAAACCTACCACTTTCTTGCTCGATTTCTCTGTATCGTTCGATAGACCGTTGCCCTAGCAACCCCCATGTATAATCTGCATCCAGCTCTCTTGTCACACGGCCCTCATCGTAATGTGATGCGAAAACTTCCCGCCTCCCGTCTTCCCATTCCTAGATCGTGGTCGTTATAACAACAACAAATTAAATTTTCATTTCATAGAGGTCTACGCCAATTTTTTTTTAATTTTGTAAAAGGTCTTTCAGTGAAAACTTGTATTCAATCATTTAAGAACAACATCAACTCGATGAAGTCAATTTTTACATACTGGTTAAAGCAAATATGCGTGCATGGTTACAGCAGATGTACATGTAAAAAGAAAAGGGTGGGGGAATACCTATGATAATGTACAAGGAATACGAAGTGAAAAAAAATGCAAAGAAGTATAAGTAATTGATAATTATTGACAAATTAACCAAATCATGAAATAATCCGTTATAACGGCGTAAAAATAAAAAACATAAAATGCACTGTAGATCTAATCAGTAATCAATGATATTGAATGATAATTCAATTCACCTTTTTGGTTGGTTCTTGAGACCCAATCAGACAGACTTTGGTTTCTCGTTGCAGTTTACAGAGCCATTTGGCTGCAGCTGACCCCACCATTCCAGCTCCTACAATACATACATCATACGTCATCTTGGCCTACAGTCGCAAGCAGTCGTTCCCCAAAATAATTCTGGAAAAGAGTGAATGTAAACATCATTTTCAAATTTGGGCTGATGTACAACAATATTGTTCTCAAGTAGCAGGCACTGGGACCACCATTGGCACTTCATATAATAAAAAGAACCCTGTACAAAACAAGTACTAGTCTAGTTCTGGACCCTATATGATTTTTGTTATTCGCCGACTAGATCTATTTAACGAGTGATGGCCGATCCTTATTGACCGCCATATCCCCACTAATCGCGCTAAAATTCTCGCGCGATTAGTGGGGATATGGCGTTCAATAAGGATCGGCCATCACTCGGCTTAACGTTTATAGTCGGCGAATAACAAAAATCATATAGGGTCCAGAACTAGACTAAACAAGTACAGACCCTGGTCCGAGCATGGACTAGCCTCTTGTCGATGCCCTCGCGCTGTTGGAGTCTCTAAATCCTGACGAGCGAAGCGAGTCAGAGAAACCGAGGCGCCTCGGCCTCGGTCAGAGAAACCGAGGCGCCTCGGTCTCTCTGACTCGCTTCGCTCGTCAGAATTTAGAGACTCCAACAGCGCGAGGGCATCGACAAGAGGCTAAGCATGGACTTACTATCCGAGATTCTGAACTGAACTGACTCGCGACGGTGAATACAAATGGTAGTCATTGTGCCGACCACTACACCCTGCATTATTAACAATATATTGTAGACTTCTTAACAAGTATTTATTTATCAGTCACTTTTCACGTAGCGTTGTTTGAATATCAAACCTACACAATATGATCGCACTTTTCTCAATGCTGCTAATATAGACTACTGTGATATGTAATCGAATCCTAGCGTATAGGCCTACTACTACTCGTATGATCATGGTAGTTGTTGTTGTTGTTTTTTTTACTAATACGGCGCTCATCATTCAACTTTGAATATTTATGCATATAATCTAGTGGCATTAACAGTACTCGATCTCTAATGATCATAATGGTGTTTTGTATTCTTTGAACTATTCGAGAAATAAAAATTAGGCGAAGTATTTTGCTTTTGAATACTTTACTAATAGGGTTTACATTGATAACCATGCCAAAGTGTTAGGTTTAGGGTTAAGATTGAGGCTATAAACACGGTTATGTAGGAAACTGAAGTCTTTTTTATTTAGTTTTTCATTGGTGAAGCGCTCGTCAGATAAACCGACGGAAATTTGGCCGAATTAATTCTGTGTTGGAGCATTCTCTACAGGTAAAGTTGCTCGATAAATTATGCCATGTGCGTGCAATATACATGATATTAAACTGATATCTCACAAATAATCCGAAGCAATTTTTTTTTTCTCAAGCTTTTTTATTGATTAAAATCAAAGAACGATCACAATTATGAACAAGATTTAAACATTATATTTAGGGATCGAGCAATGGAGAAATAGATATTTAAACAAACACAATGAAAATGATATAGGTCTATGTCTTTTTTGTTGTTATACATGCACATCTGAGCATCAGTTAAAGTATATACTCCACTTTCAAAAATTAAGAGCAAGTCGAAGCAGTGTTGATATGGCAAAACTGGTCTGAATAGTATGTAATCAAGCGGCAGTATTAACCTTACTACCGGTATACAATTACATAAACAAATGGCACACAAAGAGGCCTATACTCCATGATACAATAAGCTAATCACACATGCACACCCATACCTAGCTACGTTGGTTAAAAGAAGGTACGGGGTTATTGTATTTACTTACCCAAACCAGCTCTTTCACCTTTTGACTGACCCAACCTAAGAAATCGTTGATTGACCCTATATATACTGATTGATATCAATAAACGATCTTACATAATGAATAAATCGAAGAGAATATAGCGATCGACATTTACACGTAAAATTACTCCACAGTAATACACACAAATGAAACGCCCTTTGGAATCATGAAATCAATACACAGGCGAATCTACCCGTTGTAATCTATTACGTAATCAGGGCAGCGTTTCTCGAAACCGTCATACTACAAGTTCACCGACATCCCATTGACACGCGTGTATTAAGTTTAACACGCGTTTCAATGGGATGTCGGTGAACTTGTAGTTATGACGGTTTCGAGAAACGCTGCCCAGTAGGATATAGACAAGACAAATTTTATTCGGCATTTCTATAAATACTAAAGTAAACGCACGCCGGATAAAGTAAAGTAGGCCTACTTGTTTCATTAATTGAATGAATATAAACGTCACTTTTTCATGAATGTTGAAGTATCATGATTAATATATTTTCACTTCATTGAAACGAAAGATACCATACTCGAGGAAACCATTATAAATGTTACCGTGTATTATTGTGTTCATACTTGTCCGCTAGGAATCCCTCAATTTTTTCTAATTGCCAATAGGAATTGACTTGACAAGTCAATTCATAATTTTAAACACACGCTAAATTTGTTCTCAGCAATTCTAACCGGATTAAAATAACCGCTTTCTTTCCTAAGCATCAGTTAACCACACTTGTTCAATATCAAAGGGACAAAACTATATGTCACTAGACTTTATATGGTCTATATATACTAGCAGTTTATCAAATTCACCTTTGCTTATTAATTGAACATAACTCATGTTTAGAATACTTTCATATTCAAATAAATCAATACCAAAAGTCAACCTTTGCTTGTAATATTTATAAAACAAGCAAAACTAGAACTGATTATTTCCCATAATAGAACTAGATTCAACTTGACCTCAGAAAAGTACTCATAAATTGTCTATCAAGAAAACAATCATTTTATATAACTCTTGCTTGAAATATATGCTATTGTAAACTAATAAAATAATCTCTTGACAATCAATCACAACACCAATCTTCCAAATCACTGCCAAACTCTCAAGTCCTCTCTCCTATAAAGTCTCTCCAACCAATTCCACAGAGCTCTAAAATAACACGTCTGACACAGTATAAGTCCAGTCCAGCTCTGCATCAGTTTTATTAACCCAGGCTGTACATGTGCTCCATGCAAATTATATTCAAATATAGCACAATAGAATTTAAGAATAAAACTGAATATTCATAAGAAAAAGGAGAAGAGAACCAATGATAAGTAAGAAGTGGAAATATGCAAATGAGAAGAGAACATACCACCTGTTCTAGCTTGAAAAGTTGGTATGTGGTGGAGATGAATGGTGGAGATGAATGGTAGAGATGAATGGTGGAGATGAATGGTAGAGATGAATGGTGGAGATGAATGGATAATATGCAAATGATGTGAAATGAATATGTATGGGGTAGAAGAGACTAGAGAAACAAATAGTAATCGTGACAAATAAAAGTAGGGAATGAGTCTAATTTTAACTCTTACACTATATATCTTGTTTATTGTATTTATTGACATTTTGGGCACTTTCTAATAGTTAAACACAGCATTCATGACTTATTATCTAAATGAACATGACATTGCTTTTCTATATATATCGTTTTATACCATTAATCTAACGTATTACACACGCCTACTATCGATAAGAAATGTACAATATGTGACACGTCATGCATGCGCATCCGACCGTTCAACTAACCATGTTACTAATGCAAATTAAATTGGCTAAATTTCAGCTTGATTTAACATATGAGCTAACTTACTTCTTTTGCATGAACTCGGGTTTTAAAGGAAAACATTTTTAGTTACCGGGCATTGTATTTCAAGCCAATTCCTATTGGCAATTAGAAAAACTTGAGGGTTTCCGGCACTCCAGCAAAGCATAGAGAGTCAATGCTAATGCGTATTGACCTCTAGCACTGCATGCTTGCTGTGAGGCAGGTATTATTAGACCCATACACAAATATACACACCACACAATATCGCATAGACTCTACATGTCGATGCAGCTGTAAACGTTTGACACTAGACTTACAATTTGAATTTTTAAATTATTCTTTTTAACATCAGTAATTAAGTTTTTTAAAAAAGTATTTTACTGCTATTTAGGTGTCATCAAAATTGTCACTAAAGCACCGATTTTGAGTGAAATCAGTTATGTTTTGTACAGTGGTGTTTGAAATGTTGGGAATCAAAAGCACAGCTTTTACTACACAGCCAGGATAGTGATGGTCCTATGTGTGGGTTTCCGGAGGGTTACCTATAGCGGACAACCGTACCTGAACGTTATTCATATGACACACACTTAAATAACTGATACACGGTTACATTAATAATGGTATCTTCGATGTTTCAAAGATAACATTAGGGACTTTTAGATTGAGTGGACGAGAACGGCGTGAACGTCCATTAATCATGCGTGTCCATGGCAAGCCGTTATTTTGTTTGTTTATTTATTTAAATACGGTGATTAAAAAACATGCTTTCAGCTTAGCATAGCTGTTGTTCAGCATGTCCGTACATGGTACATTCAAATACATATGATTAAACAGATAAAACACAAGATGTTAACATATAAGTAAATGTTAAGAAGAAGAAAAAAATATTTAAACAAAAGAAATATAATGCAAATTAAACAAAAGAAATATAATGCAAGTTAAACAACAGAAGAAAGAAAGAAAAAAAATATATAACTAGAAAGAGTGGGTGGATAATTGAGAAATCAATCTGGTGAAAATATTTAAAGGGAACCCAAACCTTCATACTAAGTTACTTTTATTGTAAAGTTTAAGATATTTGAATAAAATCAGTGAAAATTTCAAACTACGACTTGAATCCAGACCTGTTCAAGGTTCAATATAGGAAGAATTCTCCAAAGAGCTTACTCACGGGAAAGCTCTAGAAGATGAAGGTGTTCGTCAGATTTAAACCTACCACCTTGTAGATATTCTCCATTGATCTCGGAGATACTAATTATTTTATTAACCCTCCGCATTTGAAGTACAATAATAGTGCCTCATTTAATATATGCCTCATTATAGAATATACAATTCTGCATCATTCGGTGTGTTATAAATCAGAGCTCAGTCGCAATAATAATACTGCCTGACATTACATGTAACTCAAGTAATATTTAATAGAAAAACTAGAATTTGTGCTGTAATGTTTCATTTTAATGGCTTAAAAAATCAAGATAAATATTATTTCAGCTTGTATAATTTTTGCATCGCTTAGACCATGGAGTTTAACTCCATGCTTAGACGTTGGCAAAAGTTATTTCAGTTATAAAATACTATAAAATCTTATGGCTTGCCTATATGCGAAGAACTTCAACCTCAGTTCAGACGCTATGTACAGGGTATATGTATACATGTTTGTATTCTAATTTTAGCCCGGTTTAATTTAAATTTTAAGACCCCGTTGCATAATAATTACCATTGATCGTAACGTTAATACCATTAATGGTAACTTCCATGGAAACCCTGATTTAATTGACTGTTGAGTCATGTTGCTATAATAATAATATTCAGCTTTTATATAGCGCTTAATAAATCTCGAACGTCTCTATTAAAGCGCTTTACATATATACTATTACCCCGGTCATAGACCTTCAAAATGCCTCTTACGTGGATTTTTTATTTGGATGAATCGCTATGACGTTTATATATATAATATATATATATATATATATATATTTATGTATTCAATATTGGTATCTTACTGAAGAAGGTGAAAGGTAAATTCAAGCAGACAAGTGAGGAGTCGAAAATGGAAAAAGGAAAGAAAAAGGCAAGGGAGAGAAAGAGAAAGAGAGAGAGAGGGGAGGGGGTGGAGGTCTGAGAGGGAGAGAGAGAAAGAGGGAGAGAGAGAGAGAGATAGACTAAGGGTAGGGCAGTGATTGAGAGCTAGAGAGACGAGGGGAGTGTATAGAGAGGACAGAAAATGAGTAGGGAGATAGAGAGCGAGAGAGATGAAAGAGTTATGAGGGAGAGAAATGAGAAAGAGCGGGCGAGAGAGAGAGAGAGAGAGAGAGAGAGTAAGAAAGAAAGAAAGAACAAAGAGGTAAAGACAGTGAGATTGACGGACACAAACACACAGACAGTCCCACATCGGGACAAAACTTTTACAGGATAGGCCTACGTGATTCTGATTGGTTGAAAGTACAGTTGTGGTACATTGGGGGCGGACTCAGGAGTTTGGGGAGAGGGTGTGGCACAATAATCATTCGAAAGATCTGTGAGAAGAATAAAAACCCTAAAATGGAGGGGAACATTCTGGGAGTTGTATAATTAAGGTACGACACTTGGCTTTTTCATCTCTTGTTCATGCCTATCATTTTTATTTCTTTCTTCATCTCGAAACCCCCGTTTTCAATATGAAATATGAAAATATGAAATATGAAGTATATTTTGATAACGTTCGATGTGTATGAGGGGTGGAAAACAATTCATCAGAAAGTCCGGTTCTGTTTATTTATGATATATATGCTTCCGCCCTCTACTGGCGGATAAAAGTTGAAGGGGTGATCACGTGCCCCATTCTGCCCCATTTTTTCCCGTCTCAACTCATGACACATACATGAGGTATGGTGCCCTCCCCTCCCCCCCCCCCCCCCCCCCCCCACCGCCCCACAAAGGAGAATTCTGGATCCGCCGCTGTCCTGTCAATCAATGAATATCCCTTAACGTCAACAATCATTCTTGAAAATATCTCCTCATCAGTTTTTGGAAGAACGTGGTATACCCCTTTTTCGCTCACAATATGAAAACAACTGTACACTGAAATACACCCAGTATGCGCTATTAAACATTCAACAATGTGCTCATAGCTTTTTAGAGCTCTTTTGATAAAATGCCAGTTTTAATATATAATTTGTTTAAACAATATCAAGAGTTTATCATGACAAAAGTTATCTACTTCTCGCTAATTTCCTCACTAGTTCACTAACTACTATTTACAGTTCTACAAAATACTGACTCACCCCCCCCCCCCCCCCTCTCTCTCTCTCTCTCTCTATCTCATAAATAAATATTGATTATCTTTACTGTATTACAACATCAAGTGCAG